TCCCCTGAGGAGTGTGTACAGCTGACCTAACGGTGTGGGGGGGGGGGTCATTAACTGTAAACTAAAACCATTCTCGCCTAATCTGCAGTTATTTTCCCAAGAAAGAATCCATTATCATTTTAAAAACCTAAAAATCTTTCTCAGCAAGAATTAACACCCTCCTCACCCCGCAAAAAGAACCCCCAAAGCCTACATTTAAATGGCAGTATTTGTAGTCATATTTGAGTGAGCTGAATCGTTGGAGAGGCACACCGCAGAGGACCCCGGGCACACAATGGCCCCTGACCCCTGCTCCAAGGACTAAAACTACACGCTGTGGCCCCATCACTCACACCTGCTGTGTGGTGGGTGTGGGACGCTTTGGGCATCTGAAGAAGATAATATAACAAACGCCCATGCTGTGATTAAATAAATAAATAAATGAGAGTGGGAAAAAGCCAAGCTTAACATAGATTTCCAATTTTATTCTGCACTTAAATCCATGGCCCCTTTTTAAACTGGAGATCTATGAAACTTTTAACTTTCTAATCATCACTAACAGGAATTCTCAATTCTCAGCTAGTTTTCCAAGCAAGCTGCAGTCAGTGGTCCAAATTATTTTCGATTCTTGAAGGTCTAGTTTTATTTCTTTATTTTTATTTTTTTGAGACAGAGTCTCGATCTGTTGCCCAGGCTGAAGTGATCTCATCTTACTGCAACCTCTGCCTCCTGGGGTTCAAGTGATTCCCCTGCCTCAGCCTCCCAAGTAGCTGAAACTACAGACACACGCCACCACACCCGACTAATTTTTGTATTTTTAGTTAGAGACGGGATTTCGCCATGTCGGCCAGGCTGGTCTGAGACTGCTGACCTCAAGTGATCCACCCGCCTCAGCCTTCCGAAGTGCTGGGATTATACAGGCGTGAGCCACCGCACCTGGCCAAGATCTAATTTTAAAATAAGGAAAAGCAAACATCTCCAATATATTTCCCTCCCTTCATTCTGCACCATTGTGAATGGCTCCCAAAGGGCTGTTCGGGGAGCAGCTGCCATCAACACCACCTGGGAAGCTATTAGAAATGCAAATTCTCGGGCAACACCCCAGACCAGCAAAATCAGCCTGGGAAGTAGGGCCCAGTAAGTGGAATCCTCACATGCCAGCACTCCTGGGGACGCCCAGGAGCCTCGGCGTAAGGGTTGAGTCACATTGCCCAGGTTCATGTGCTAGGTAAGCAAGAGTACAGAACTCTCCAACTTCTCAAGACTTGTCCCGCTCTATAGAGTAGAATTACAGACTTGTTACAAAGATTAAGTAAGAAAAATGCTGTACACCCAAAGCGCTCAAGAGCCACAGCTGGCACAGAAGACACTCAACGTTAGCAGCATTGCTGCTACCAGAGGCAAGGCACTAGGACAATGCCAAACTGGAAAGGAAGTGGGGGGAGAAAGAAAAAGGAGGAAAAGTTTTCTTGTCCCTGCCCCTTGGAGCTTAACACCCAGTGGCGAGGCCACATGCAAAGAAAAATAAAGGTGCCCTTTGCAGGGCATGGTGGCGCACGCCTGTAATCCCAGCTACTCGGGAGGCTGAGGCAGGAGAATTGCTTGAACCCGGGAGACGGACGCTGCAGTGAGAAGGAGAGAAAGAGGGAGGAAGGTAGAAAAAAAGCAAGGTAGCAGCCGGGCGCGGTGGCCCACGCCTGTAATCCCAGCACTTTGGGAGGCCGAGGCGGGTGGATCAC